AGCTTCCATGGAAGGATGACCCAAGGATAAAGCGCACCAAGATTGGCAACTGGATCACCTTCGCCTGCATAGTCATCGGCTTGGGTCTCTCCGGTTACATTGCATACACAGGTGTCAATGAAGCCAAGGTCCCCGAAGGATGTCTCATCATGGATGACAACTTTGAAAAGATTGACCCCGCCAACTGGGGCTACGAGATTCAGGTAAGCAACCATGTCAACATTCCTCTTTCGCCAAATTAACCACCCACCTTTAGACTGGTGGTTACGGAAATGGCGAGTTCGACTGGACGACCGACGACCCAAAGAACAGCTATGTTGATGCCGAGGGTCTCCACATTGTTCCGACTCTGACGACCGAGTCCACGGGCATCACTGCAGAGCAGCTTGTCGATGGCTACACGCTCAACATCACCAAGGCAGGTGGTGACGGTTCTTGCACTTCGACCGACTACAAATCCTGCAGCATCAGGTCCAACGCGACCACTGGTGCCATCATTCCTCCTGTTCGTTCCGCACGCATGACTACCAAGGGAAAGAAATCTATCAAGTACGGTCGTGTCGAGGTTGTCGCCAAAACCTCAAAGGGTGACTGGTTGTGGCCCGCCATCTGTACGTTGCATATGAAACTTGCGCCACAATATCGATGGATACTAACGCTGATGTTTAGGGATGATGCCTGAAGAAAATGTCTACGGCGAGTGGCCCCGCAGCGGAGAAATCGACATTGCTGAGTTCCGCGGAAACGCATGGCCTTACCCCGAAGGCAACGACTTCATGTCCTCGACTCTCCACTGGGGCCCCGACTCCAAGCACGACGGTTACATTAACACACACGGTAATGCTTTCTTCCGCCGCCAAACCTTTGCTTCAACCTACCACACGTTCGGACTTGAGTGGACCGAGAAGTACCTGTTCCTGTTCCTCGATTCCCGTCTCAAGCAGGTTATGTACTACAAGTTCACCGAGGACAACCAGCTTTGGAAGAAGGGTGGCTTCGGCGGCGTCACTACTGCAAATGGCACTCTTGTGGAAAATCCGTGGGTCAAGGGTGGCCTCAATGCACCATTCGACCAGAAGTTCTACCTCATTCTCAACGTCGCTGTCGGTGCGCAGAACGGATGGTTCTTTGACGGTGAAGGCAACAAGCCGTGGGTCGATGGCAGCGACTTCGCTCCTAGAGACTTTTGGAATGGTATGTTTTCCTCATATTCCCGTTATTTTGTAGAGAAAACCCACTAACAATCACGACAGCCAAGGATGAGTGGCTCCCAACCTGGGGCGAGGGCGCCGATCGTGGTATGACTGTCAAATCTGTCAAAATGTGGCAAGCCGGCAAGTGCTAGACGTGGCTTGCGCATCTTTGACCAATTTCGATCTTCACGGGTCCGCATGCACCCGTGTCTTTTTTACACTACCGAAGGGTTGTTTTGCTTATTTTTTTTTGGTTTTTGGGGATAGTTGGCACACGACGGCACGTCAGACGTTTATCGCATACTGGGATGATAGAGGCGCATTAGGCGCGTCTTGTTTGGGCACACTTGAAGCGCACGATACACATTTTCTTACAAACGAGGTAAGCCCAAGAACTGAGTTGTAGAATTACATTTTAATCCATGTTCATCGACCAAACCCCACACATCTTACGCTGATACTCCTTGCGGCCCTTTCACGGACCTTTGTCGTTCCTTATTCTTGATATTGGCTTCTCACACATGCCGTCTGACACGGGATTGCTGCTGGCAACAGGCTTACGTTGGTGGCCTTGCATAATCGAATGATCCACCTCGGCTCGTCTGAAGTACCGGCATTGCATTGTAGATTCTGCAAAGGCTGTGGACAATTGTGAACGCCACACCCAAAAATTTACGAAATCAGCAAAGATTCTCCCAGCTTCGTCATGTTCTCTGGTGGCAAGAAAAAGGGCTTCCATGCCACGTCTAGAAGGACACTTCGGGACTCATACCAAAAGCGCGCACCTTGCTCGCTCGTGCGTCTTCTCAATCCAGCCAATGTACGTATCCTTGATTCGCCCAATTGCGCATGCACCCTCGCCAACATGTCCTCTTCCGAGTGCGAAACCGATAAACCATCCAAATCCAGCATGTTAGCCCTTCCGCCCGCATCCACTGCCTCCACCGCATTCCCCACCGTATCGCAAGGGCAGCACATGGCTAGTACAGCCCGTGTCCTTGCTACTTACCAAAGCCTCGCTCCTTCTCTTCCGCTCCCTATGTGCATTATCTCGCTGTAGTAACCCACTCTGCACACTCTATTTTTCCTTAGCCACACACAAACACATGCATCCCCCCCCCCCTTCCTCTCCACCCGCCCCAAATCCTTTCGCTCATCCCCGTCCGCCCCTCCCGAGCCACGCGCTTGCCAAATCCACCCAAGAATCTCAAATCATCTTCTTTTGCGAGAACGTCTCGAAATTAAACCCAGCGGTGTGGCGTTTTTGTCTTGTTCGCGAAACCTTTTGGGCCAATGTATGGCGTTCGCGCGCTTCCTTTCACGCACGCCCGCCGTCCCTTTCCCACTCCCGATTTCGCACTCTATACCCTTTTTTTTCTTAAAGCCGAGATAGCTTTTCAGCCTCTCAATGCAGCTTTTGCCGTATACATGTGGTACACATACATCCTAAGCTGTTTGCGCCGCAAACATGCCAAACACTAAAGCTTACAAACGCTATTGGCAAAAAAGTTGATGAGAAAGAACACCCAACCCACTCAACTGCGGTGTTTCCCCCCCCCCCCCCCTTTGTCGAGTGTTTTGTCCGTTCAGCTAGCTAGCCAGCTAGCCAGCAAGCCAGCCCGTACTATCGGCCGTATCCCCCCCATTAGCGCCCTACCGTTCGTATTCTTAGTCTTGAAGACGCCGAGATAGCAGCAAAAAAAAGATAAAAGACGTTGACGCTTTACCCTGTTTTTTTGTTTGTGTTTGTGTGGGTGTGTTCAGCTCGTGAACAAGGCGTGCAACAGCCGCTCTCTCGCGCACACACATGCAAATACGAATCCGCTAGTCGAAACACGGATGAGTCGGGTCGTGGATGGGGTAAGGTTATTGGGGTTAGGATGGCTGGTGGTAGCGTGGGGGGGGACAGGGGGGTAAGGTGGTTAGGTGGGCCAGACGGACAGGGTTCCGAGGGCAGTAACAGGGGGGGTTGATTGTGGGATGAGTGCAGAGTGCATGTGTGTGATGGGGTTGTTTTGTGGTGGTGGGTGGGCCGTTTCAACCGGACAGTTTTTTCTTTTGTTGTTCCTTTTTGCTTTTTCGGAAGCGGGATTGCGGATGGCTTGCTTTTTAGTTTCCCCTGTTTTGCTTCATGCGGCATACGATGCGGTAGGAGGATTCTTCTTGTTTTTTTTTGTTTTGTTTTCAGAACTACACGGCATCGGTCGGTATCGTGCCGGATTTGCGCTTCTGAATTGCTTCTGTGTTCAAAGTACCGACTTTATTGTTTTGTTTTTTCTTTGCTCACCTTACCCCGACCCTGTACCTGTTTCATCAGGGACTGCGTCTGTGGCTTTTTTTAAAAGCGGGTGAAAATGTGGCGTTTGTTGTGCATCTGATTATTACATTACAGGACCTGAAGAGAGACAGAGACGACAATAGGGAGATGGGCATATCCCTAACATGGCCGTTTCAGCGCACTGATTAGTGTATCAGCAAAATTCCTGGTGTTTGTTTTTTATGGTTTTCCTAATCTGACGAGGCCCCCATTCAATCCACTCGTCCCACCCCCTCGGCAGACGACAATCTGATACGTCACAAAAGACGATACAAAAGGGGTGCGCGCGCGACGGCGTGTCATGCATGTGTAAGGGCGCCCGTCAACCAGTAGGTCATTCATAGTGACGCCTAACATCGCTATCGCAAACTAGTGATACGTTGTGGAACAGCAGCACCCACTGCGCAGCACCAGCACACACCCTTCAAATTACCACAACTCTCTCCAAGGCCGCCGCCGTCAAATTAGACATATGCGCGTCATAGCAAATAATTAATCGTACCATAGCACACTTGGCGTACATGTGTTGCAACCCCCCCCCCCCCCTCCTCGCCCGCTCGCTCGCTCGGTGGTTGAACCCAACAACTCTCCCCCTAGCAAACGTTGTATCAAAGGACCTGCATGGCGCCGGTGAGAAATCGATAAATTGGCAAACGCAGGTGTAGTGTAGTCACCGCCAACGTGATTTCCTTCCAAACCACTCGTTGGACGGCAAGATAAAACACAAAAACTCGCCCTAAGAATACAAACCCCAGAACCCGGGAACCCTGTTGGCGTGCCCCATTAAAAAATAATCACCGCGCGCCAGTTTGCTGACTGAAATCCCCTTTCCCTTTCCCTTTCCCTTATCCCTTTACCATTTGCTGTTTTTGCTTTTTTCAGACCGCTATGCCCACCACCCCCGCCTGCTGCTGCCTGGGGCCTTGGGGGGAAATGCTTGGTTGTGCAAGGCGGGAAGAAAGCGATTATGTCGGTGTTTCTAACAATATATTGCTTTCTGATACCGCGTATGCGGTCTGAACGGGCATTGGGCTAGCTTAACGTACGATTCGATACGCACAAGGATTTTATGCATGCATACGACGGGAACGCAAGCCGTGCAGACCGTTATCTAGGTGTAGGAATCCTTCGTGCAGATTACACAACTACTGTACTCTGCGATCAGGTTTTTTAGGGTCAATCCAACAAAAAATAAACACCGAAGGAAGCGCTGTTATCTACCATGCCCGTGTTCTGCCCGTTTGCTGTATAGTGTCACATCGCGCAATCGGATGGACTAGCTACCGAAGCGGTGTCCACAATTACTGTCAGGTCTACTCTTTGTTGAGAGGGTGACGGCAAGGCACGTTTTTTTCTTTCAAGGAAAAATTTTGGGGGCCGAGATCGAATACTATGCGCAATTGGCATGATGTGCGATCCGGAAACTCGACTATCCGGAACGAATGCGGTGTTGCGTTGTCCTACCGCTTCTTCCACCATCCCCATGTCAATCACTGCTGATTGTGCCGTCTAGCCGCGACCTTGACCTGGAAGTCGCGCGGCTTGACGAACCAATAGTTTGTCGTCTCCCACTCTTGATCAGCCGCTTGCAGGTGGCTGGCTAGAGTAAAGTCAAAGTCTCGAACAAGCATGGGGATTAACTTGGACATTTCCAGAAACGATATGTGTCTTCCTATGCAGGTTCTTGCTCCGAGGCCAAACTGCGCAAGTACGTATTTTAGTCAGTAAATGACGCCCGAGGTACAGGATTGGGTAATAGGGTAGAAGGGATGTACGCGAGGTGGCGATGCGCGAATTGAGGCAATAGTCGATCAAATAGATGGATGACGAATCCATGACATACCGGCATCCAATTTCGCTCCATGATAGCGAGCCTCTCTCTGTCGCCAGCAAGCCAGCGTTCTGGTCTAAATTGGTGTGCATCTGGACCAAAGATGGTGCTATCGCGATGAGCAACCCATGAGTTGATTCCGACAATAGTCTAACATAAGTTTATCAGTTGGCGTATTCGCACATCTTTCGATCTGACCATTTTATGTCAGCGCGGCAACTTACGCCTTCAGGAAAGAACATATTGGATATCTCTGCTCCACCAGATGGCACCACACGCTCCAGCGGGAGGCCAGTGGCAGGATGCATTCTTAGTGCCTCCTTCATCACCGCCTGGAGATAGGGCATCTCTTGGCTCTCCTTGAATGTAATGAAGTGGCTGCTTTGACCTTGTCGCTGGCGCTCATCGACCTCGTGCCGAAGTGTCTCAAGCGTGTGAGGATTCTTAAGCAGGTAGTAGAGAATAGCAGAGAGAGTAATGCCCGTAGTATCCGAGCCAGCCACCATATTCGACACGCACCCTGAGGCGACATGGTACATGGTAAAGGACTCAGGAGAGTCAGCATTCTTCGTAAAGAACTTTGTCAGAAAGTCTATGCTCGTTTTCCCTTTCTCTGCTCCATCCACTGGTATCCCCTTTGTCTGCTCCGTCTGATGCTCTGCAATGCGATCTTGAGTAAACTTGGCCACATATGCTCGCCCTGTTCCTGTCGGGCCAGCCAACCAATTTCGAATGTGAAAGAGGTATTTGTGCAACCACGAAAAGATTCCAATAAACGTTGCATATTGCAAATGGTCCTCCAAAGCCGCCATTACGCCACCAATATCCTCGCCTCCGTTTAGAAACCCTAATCGTTTGGAGTACGTTATCAATCCAATGACATCGAATGCGTAGCACTGTAGCCAATGTCCCATGTCTGCGTATGCGCCCGCACTGGCAAGTTCTCCAAGACGCTGGCTAAAGAGGTCCGCACACTCGTCCACGTATGGCTCGTAGGTGACGAGCGAGGACATGCTGTAGGTGCTTTGGTACTGTCGGCGATTCTCGCTATGACGTCGGATCGAGTCGTCTGTAAAAAGAGACCACTGCGATGTGTCTGGGTTACTCCATGAAGAGTACCACGAAGATTTTGGGAACTTGGAGCCGTGGCCGTAGATAGACTTCTGCGCCGAAAGTGAAGAGAAGGAGTACCGGTTTGGTCCATAACGAACAACCTCACCTGCAGTCAAAATGTAAGTGATTATCTCTGGTGTATATCCGATTTGTAGAAGGTAATTCAATCACACATGACAGGAGGATACGACTTGCCGTATCTTCGATGCAACTCAATGTTGTCCCACTCAAATCTGCCTTTTTGGACTCGCCATAGATACCAAAGATCAGTGAACCGGGCAGAGAATGGGCTTGGTATATTGCGTAGTGGAGAGAAGAATGTTTTCAGAAGCGGAAATAAGATGCGTGCTATGAGCGCAACAGCTGCTGCACCTGCAAGAACCAAAAAATGCATTTTCGCTGCTCCAACGAGTCATCAATGAGAATTTAACTGTTATTCAATCAATAGCTGGTGATTTGGAGCTCAAAGTATCTTGCACTATTCGCCGCATGTTTTTATGTTGATTCTCGGCATAGTTGTGCGGGGAAATGACGCGGATAATGGGGACGAATAGCAAGTGCGGGGTTGCGGTCTTGTATGAAGTTGACGTTCACGTAATGGGCGTGGAATTATTTCCATCTTTGGGATCTTCCAATGTGAAATCGATGATATTTGAGGTCTCTTATATGAAATTGCTCAAATTTTGTCGTGGTTCGGTATCGGGTGTTGCACCCGAGGCAATGACTTCTATACCACGAGCATATTATTCAGTCTCTAAAGTACGAGGTGAAAGGTTAATAAAAGCAAGGATGGCTACAGGGATGGGTAATGTAGGAAATAAGTGATATCTGGTTGGTTTAAACAACAAAAATTCCCATGGGAAGAAAAGCATGCGCATCCCAGCCTCCGTGTTGACCAAAAGAATGTCGTACTGTCAAGCAACTTCTGATGCGGTCGTGTAGATGCATTTCAATTCAAAGGAGCATTAGGTAAGTTCATATAGATTTGAATATAATTCCGCTCGGCGGGCTTGTTACACATGTTGCTAAGTACAAGATTGTCCGTTACTTTGACTGCTGATGGAATACAGATACTAAGAAGACTGAACATCAACCAAATCAATATTCTTTTATCCAAGTGCGACAATGATGCATACTTGTATATCCACGGATAAAGCAATTACATCAATTTCTATCCAAGTGTTTATAGAAACAGTATCTTGTTAGAAAAGACTACGACAATATCCTTTATAAACAATGTTGAACGTATAAACCATGATGCAGACCCTCACGAACACAAGATAAAACAATCTTTCATTGAGATATTCTAGAATCCGTAGTCCCGATTTCAGGTCACATATATTAAAATACAAGTTGCCACAGATCAGTGAGTCGTTCATTGTTCTCACCCAGTCCACCATGAATGACAATGCTATCATTACCACTCTCAGCCTTGATAACATCAGCATCAAACCATCCACGAGGTTCAGGCACACCGTCACTGCCTTCGGGCTGAAGCTGTGTCCACCATTTCTCAGTGATATCGTAGATCCAGACATCGCTTAGCATCTTGCCTGCTCCAGCATGGCCTAGTGACGAAGGGTCGTGTTCGCCAAAGAGCGTGAGAAGCTTGTCTTTGTGAGCGAGTCGAACTGGTAATAGAACACAGACACTGCGGGCCTGAGGTCCGTTGTAGCCATCAGCTTCAAAAGTATCGGTGGACCATGTGCTGTTGGCAGTGTCGAATACGTCAACGCTGCCACCTTGTTCAGTCGTACCGTCGAAGCCATTCATTCGGTAGAGCTTGCCATCATGGTAGGCAATTGAAGCGCCTCCACGCTGGGAGCCTGGAGCATCTGGTGCCTGTGTCCATGTACGGTTATTGATGTTGAACATCCATAAGTCGGATAGGCGTCCTTTTTCAGGACATCCGGCATGGAGGAAGAAAGTCTCCTTGCCGTCACTAGTAGAGCAATGATAGCTACGTGCTGGTGGAAAGGGCGCTGATGAATCAGCTGGGGTGATCTTTGTCCATGATGAGCTTGTGGGGTCGTAGCACCACACTGCGCCTTGTTCCTCTATGGGTGCCATGTCGATACCGCCGCGTCCAGAAAATAAGTGCATTTTGCCATTGAGAACGGCCGATGCACTTCCTACTCTTGGGCTGGGTGCTGAGGAAGCCGATTTTGTTTCCAGGTTTGTTGCATCTGTTCCCGTTTTAGCCATGTACCTTGATGGCCTGTTTAGATGAGGGGCATACTGGACTTGAGGGGAACCACATCGACCTTGTCGTCTATGGGCTCCCGAGGCTTGACTTCACCACCAAAGATGCAGACGTTTGAATCGACAACTGAAAGTACTTGAGAAGAGCGGCGCAAACGCTCATCGTTCAAGAGACGCTTCCAGGAACCCTTGAGGGTATTGACTGGTTTACCAACTGGCATTCTGAGTTCTTGTTGTTGTCCAAACTATATTTGAGTTGAAGTGAGGGTTGTAGGAGAAGTGAGAATAAGAGTATGAGTCGTCTTAGATCAGGTAAAATGCATACAATTGCGTCATGCGGGAGGAATGTCACTGTGAAAGATCGACCGGCATAAACGCGCTAAGACTAAAGTGTGCTAGTCGGACGCGCATAGATCGTCATTGGTCGCGGCGCCATGTCCAAAAGTTCGCGATGCAGATGACTTTGGCTCGTCGCAAACCACATGCAACTTGACGTGCCGATATGAGGCTTCGATTGACGGTGCAGAGGAACGGCCTGCCTGCTGCCAACATTCTCTGGAGCGTTCCCGAAACCAACAGTACACAGGCATACACCATTACGCGTTTGCTCGAAGATGTTAACTACATTATCCCGCTAGAGGCTGAGCATTGGGGCCTGGAGCACTATGTCGTCGAGGTGGGCGGCTTCGAGTGCCTTCACTTTATGCCTGTCATCAATGCGCTCAAGGAAGACGACCATGTGTCGTACGTAATATGATAGTAACTGTATTGCTGTATGCTGACGACTCAACTATAGCATCCGACCGCTCATGACAGCCGAAATACGCGCGCGCACCCTCACTGGCCGTGACCAGATATCCGACGGAGGTCAACACCTTGTCGATGGTATTCCTTTCGGTCGACCCTACTTGCGACAACCAAACCGACCCCCAGTTCGCATACCCCCACGCAAGCGACGCCGACTCGACGACGGAGAAGCAGAAGCAGAGCCAGAGCCAGAAGCCACAGCTTTGCTTATGGAACACGGTGAAGAAGCCGAAGAAGAAGAAGAGCCTCTTCCACTCTTGAATGGCCATACAGTCTCTAGGAGTAGTGTGAACAAGTCTGGGAGAGAGTCTAAGACAGTACACTTCCAGGAGCCAGAGATTGATGAATCTGATGACAGTGAGGAAGATGACGACTTTGTGCCAGGGGATGGCGACGAATCCGCCTCTTCTGCCGAAGATTCAGAAGACGACTCAGATTCAGATTCGGGCTCGGCAGCCAAGCCCGGCAGTTCGTCAAGCGCCTCAGACACGTCAGATTCAGGGTCAGACTCAGGGTCAGAATCAGATACGACGAGTAACTCCGACTCCGACTCCGACTCTGACTCCGATGACAGCGATGCAAGCGCTCCCCCTGACGTCCTATCGTCGAAGGATGGCCGCAAGACTACAGCAACACAGCACGTTCCTCCAGGCCAGGGACTCAAAGCCACAAAGGTCCGAAACTCTCGACGCACTAGAGTAAATCGTCTTCGTCGCCTGATAGCATCTGGTGTGCTCCCTGAGGGTGCGGGTCTGAGTGACCTGAAGAACTATGAGGAAGGGAACTTTGGCCAGCCCGAAGCAGAAGAGGGCTCTACTAGCACACAGCCATTTTCTAAATCTCAAGGCAAGAGAAAACGATTAGATGACGAGGTTTCGGCGGCCGAAGATGCTTTACAACTGGAACAAAGAAAACAAGAGCTGATGGCCAAGTTTGGAGACACATTGTCTGGTCCTGTGCCATCAGTTGACTCGGTGCAGCCAGAGACAATGCCAGTAGACGAAGCTCCCGCCGAAAGAGCAGTTGCTTCGAGAAGGCTACGGCCAGATACTGCTGCTATTGGTCGGATACTTGCTCGACAAGCAGCACCAGTGGTCAGAAAGGGAAGAAACAAAGCAGCGGTGGATGAAGTCACGGAGCCTGAAGGGGCATCAGACCCTGATTTCTGGAAGTCGCGTATCAACGTGTCTGCTTTTGAGTGTTGGGATGAGGAGTTTGAGCTTAGTGCCCCGCCGTTTCCATTCGAACAGCACTGGGATCCTGCCAGTAAGGCGATGCGGGAGAAGGCGGCTAAAAAGAAACAGAAGAAGAAGAAGCAGAGTCATGCACCACAACAGACATATGCAGTGCAGGAGGAAGATGAGGAAGAGAAGATCATTCTGGACTATGACGATGCTCCTGCAGCCAACAATGAGTCGGAGATTATAGATGCAGCAATCGAGGATCAGCTTCAACAAGACCTTGCGACAGCCGCGCAAACTGATTTGGCGCCACTGCCCGAGGATATGAGTACTTTGCCTGATCTTACCGCGGCGGACATGAAGAAGGGCGCGGTGATTGCATGCAAGTTCTTTACTGTGAACCCTATCACTGTCACGCCTGAAATTAGTGGGTTCAAGACGGCGACTGTAGAGCACGAAGGGGACTCAGGGCCTGGTGCAGGGACGATCCAATTGAGGATTGCAGCGCGTGACCTGGTCAAGAAGGAGAAGAAGTTTGATGGTAAAGGTAATCGAGTCTACAATGCGGCTGATGCGTTGCTGATGGAGAGTGACGACGAAGAAGATGGCTTATGGGAGGGGCAATTTGGCGAACTCTTAGAAGCAAAGCTGGTGAAGGCTGCATAGAGCAGGACTGACTACTGTAGCGATTTTATGTTTCATCCATGTACCAATATATCCAATTGTAATAGTATAGCTACTCGCTGTGTACATGTGGATATATTCTTACCCCCGAAGCACGTGACCCATGTGTCAGCCGCAAAAGAGTACTAGGGCCGATGAGCCGCGGGGGGGGGGGGCATGGTGGGCTAGCAAGGCAGGGTCTGTATGTACCCCACCAAACGTCATGTTACCCGCCAACCATAGATGAGCCGCATGAACCGACGATCGTCAACTCTCTGCATTTGCCCTTGAAAAGAAACGTTGTTTTGGGTATGTGTACGCGGGCGGCTTTTGCGCCAGTCTCGCATGCCTGGCGAGCTGTTTCTGGGACCGGGCGGCTACCACTCGGAGTGTCATTGTTGCGAAGGCTTTTGCTGGGCGCCAGGAATCCATGTCCTAGCCTGGCTCTAACAACTGCCGTGGTGGGGTAGCTTCATGGTTTCCTGTTAGCAATAGGTGCATCATGCAGTAAGGCGGAAGACTCACTTTACAAATTTTCGGTACTTGTAATCCGTTTGACTTAAATTCCCAGCAATCCCGTCTTTTTTTTCACTACACCACACTCTTCACCAAAACATCCACCACCATGCCTCTTCCCACTGGTGTATACCGCGCCGACCACGTCGGCTCCTTCCTCCGCCCCAAGGCCGTCCTCGAGGCACGCACAAAAGCTGCCAATGGCGAAATCACTGCCGAGGAGCTTCGCAAGGTCGAAGACGAGCACATTGCCCAGGTTGCAAAGCAGCAAATAGACAATGGCCTGCTTTCCGTCACTGATGGCGAGTTCCGCCGCGCATACTTTCACCTCGACTTCCTCAAGAACGTCGCTGGTATCGAAGAGAAGGGTCAGGTTGGAAACATCAGGCACAAGGACGGCTTCTCCCCGCCAACCCTCGTCGTAACTGGCAAGCTCGGCCACCCCAAAGCTATCCAGGTCGAGGACTTTCAGTTCCTTGAGCAGGCCATCAAGAACAATGGCAGCAAGGCCACAACAAAGGTCTGCATTCCTTCGCCCACCATGGTGCACTTCCGTGGTGGCCGTGCCTCCATCGACATCTCCGCCTACCCCGACCTCGACGTCTTCTTCGACGACCTCGCACGCGTCTACCAGGAGGAGCTCGACTCCCTCTACAAGGCCGGCTGCCGCTTCGTTCAGCTCGACGACACAAACCTTGCCTACCTGTGCGACCCAGATATGCGCAAGGCCGCCGAAACCGAGCGCAACGAGGACCTCAGCACCCTGCCGCGCAAGTACGCCGAGCTCATCAACAAGGCCATTGAGAAGAGGCCTGCCGACATGAAGATTGGCATCCATCTCTGCCGTGGTAACTACCGCTCCAAGTGGTTCGCCTCAGGCGGCTACGAGCCCGTCGCCGAAGTCCTCTTCAAGGAACTCAACGTCGACGCCTACTTCCTCGAGTACGACGACGCGCGCTCTGGCGACTTCAGCCCCCTGCGCCACCTCCCCGAGCACAAGGTCGTCGTCCTGGGTGTCATGTCGAGCAAGAAGAACACACTTGATGACAAGGACGAGATCATCAAGAGGTTGCATGAGGCTGCCAAGATCACACCAAATGGTCTTGACCAGCTGTGTGTGAGCCACCAGTGTGGATTCAGTTCGACTGCTGAGGGTAACGAGTTGACCGAGGAGGAGCAATGGGCCAAGGTTAGACTTAATGTTGAGATTGCCAAGAGCGTTTGGGGTGACGATATCGCCAAATAAATACTTTGACCCCGAGAGTCTATTGAGGACGCGCGTGGGCGAAGTGGGAAAAGGCGTTCACTGGCAGTTCATTTTCCGAAGCGATGTACGCATTGCATGCATTGGTGGAGGAAGAAAGAGAAAGAGATACCCCAAGGTGTAGTAGTATCTGGGACAGCATGAGCGAGAGAGGTTTGTGTTTGAAGCGATGATGAACGACGACGAAGATGATTACCCATGACGACCATGATGTATTGCCGAACAATTGGTCTAGAAAAATCCCCCTTCTCTGTCCTTCTTTTTTTTTTAAGAGAAGAGAACATTGCCTCTTCAACGAGGTCCGGGTCCAACATAACCAAGTTCTTAAATGTATGTATAACTATATTTGTAGATATAAGTAAAAAGTGGTTCAACCCCTCCACACACACATATATATACTCTTCCCTTCCCTCTTTGTTGCTTTTGAAATAGAATTAAAGGAATGAAAAAAAGAATTTAAAGAAACGAACATAGGCGAGGCTGATGCCGATGCCGACGCCAATACACGGCGTTTTTACCTTTTCTTTTTTTAACTTCCAACTTTGATATACGTAGGTGGTGGATGACTGTAAAGGGCTCTCCGCAAAGAACCACCAACATTACGTAAGTACCTTGCACGACTTTACTTTTTTTTATCTCTATTTACTATGTAGCGTATCAAATCAACTATCTGAGAAAAGGATAGTAGGCCATACCCTAAGCTGCTGAGATCGGGTGTCAAAAAAATCGACTTTGTAGTTAAATTAGACGGATTTGGATGAGCTTTAGGGATACCGTCGCTCGACTTTTAGAAGATTATTCGGTAATACTAATGTGTGCACAACTTAATGGGTATATAACTATTAGGTACAACTCCATTGGGTACGACGACGAAAATACGGTTGTGACGAAGGCAGCAAAACAGCGGTACCTTGTACTTAAGTCGCAAAGACTCTTATATTTCGGTGCTTATTTATATGCTCTTTAGATCTATTTCTATCTATCGTAACGGGCCGGTGCATAAGGGTCACTAAGTGACCCCTTGTGCAGATAGTATGATCTGACTTGGTGAGTATAAGACAGGAGCTTTTTGTATGTGTACAGTAGGGATCTTTATGCAATCGACTTCAAGTTCAAGTTTACAACATTTTCTCTTTGTTATCCCTCTCGTGTCCTAAGTAAGGACGTGACTACGGTTAAGGTGAAGGCCCCCTGTAGTCGACCGAGTAGAACTCGTGGATGCCAGCACGCTTTGCCACCCCCGCTCAATAAGCTTTGAACAAGAAAAAACTAAAGCAATTTAAGGGCGGCTGATATAAATCCTTTCGTATTGAGCATCGAAGCTGCAAAAAACTAAGTCGAATGCAAGGAAAGTTCCGGGGTGGATATAACGTAAGCGGACTGGAAGAGTCTAGATTGTCCCCTTTGCGGTTACACTTGATAGTGTGGCGCTTTCTACAAGTAAGCAATACGCTTAATTTCTTACTCAAAGCTTTATTTCTGCGCTTTCGTCTGGAGTAGTCTAGATTTGCCTTCTTGCGGCTACATTGAATATCGTGGCGCTTTCTATTAATACGCAATGCGCTTGTCGTTCTTGGAATCAGCCTCCTCGATCTGTTTTCTTTACTAGCATTTGATTTCTGTATATATAAAAGCCAGGTTCTAGAGGCATGAGTAAAGGTTTCTTTTCAACATCAAGACGATCACTTTGCCAACGTGTATCAACCTTGAAAGAACTTCATTCCTACATATTCAACTTCTGCTTCGTTCTATCCAAAAAGAAAGATGCTACTCTCTATCGTCTTCTTTACTACCCTTATCGCCGTCTCCTATGCGGGGACAAGCACTATCTGGAACGTCTCGGGAACATGTAATAACCAGAATATTTGCGACATCGATCTCAAGTACGCGGATCCCTACGACAAAAGAACCGGCTGCAGAGGCGGCCCAGGAACATTCGCAGGAGATGGGAAAAATGGAAGGTCATCATGTACGCCTCCGGGTACCAAATGCACATATGTCTGGGGTTGCTTGTGAGCGTAAGGTGGGAAGTAAATCAGCCAAATGTAATGAATAAGTCTAGTGCGCTAGACTTGATCTGAAACGGTATTATGTTGCCTAACGAACACCTCTATAGTCTCAAAATCTGTGTACCAGTAACGGAGCTTTCTATCTAAAACGTGTTGGGGGGAAGGGGTTTAGCCCAACCTAATTACTAAAATCTGAGAAAATAGTGTCACGTGAGGCACGTGTCCAAAAGTATATAGCTAGATGGGAGAGCCTTCCCAAGACAATGACAATACAATACCTTGGTACCATACCTGTTCTCCCGAACCGCGTGACAAATAGCTTTCTAGACACGTTTTGTAGGTACCAATGTCGCGATTAAAAGTTGTTAGAAACAATAACCCAGACTGCACACTAGCATAGCAGTAGAGTATAAGAGTTGCTCAGCCGTTCTAAGCATTTACACCGTCCGGTAAAGTAGTACAAATTGATCAAAACTCAGCCTCATACTGCGTACTAGTGATCAGTGCATTGTTGATCGCCCCACCAAAACTTGCAGGGGTGCAGCTCTTAGAATACGAATACGTTCAACATACGAGACCTCGACACTTATGGGCTAATTCTACTATAAATTCTGCAAAGTGTCGAGGAGGGAAAAAAAAGAGAGAATTCGTATTTCTGTTCATGTTGTTACGCTCTAATTTAAACAGTCGCTTCAAAGTTTCTATTTCGTCAACTCTACATTCATTGGAATTTCCAGCAACGGCAATATGGCGTCGGTACACCTCACTCCTCGTGGAGAAGCAAACTTCGATCTTTTCCCGTACAACCCTTCAATTGGCGCTGGATACGCCTATATGGTCATGTTTGGGATCATGGCTATCGCACATATCGTTCTTATGTCTATATATCGGAGTTGGTATTTCATCCCCTTCATCCTCGGATGCATAGGTAAGCAAAAAAAGCAAAAAAAGCCTCCAACTCAACCCCCGACTCCCAAATTAATTCAGGCTTTCTAATAAGCAATCCAGGCGAAGCAGCAGGCTACTACGGCCGCGCCTGGGCGCACGACAACATCCGCAACGGCACACCCTACCTAATCCAAATGATGCTGATCCTCGGCTCCGCACCTCTCCTCGCAGCAACCGTGTACATGACGCTCGGCCGCCTAGCTCGCAACCTAGATGCAAACGACTACTGCCTCATCCGCTCGACCTGGATTTCCAAAATCTACATCGTCATCGACATTGCGAGTTTCGGGTGCCAGATGGCTGGTTCCGCAGCGCAGGCCAGCGGGCCCGAGGGAGCTTTGCAAGGCATAAAGATTGTAAAGATTGGGCTTTCGATTCAGCTTGTCGCGTTTGGGTTGTTCCTTGTTATGGTTGTGGTGCTGCACACTAGACTCCGCGGCAGTCCCTCCAGTGTCTCTGAACGGCCACGTGTGAGCTGGGAGAAGCACTTCTACGCGCTGTACGTAGTCAGTGTTTTGATTGTTGTACGGAGTCTGTTTCGCCTGATTGAATTTGCTCAAGGTCCGGATGGCCATATTCTCAAGACGGAGTGGATGATGTATGTGTTCGACGCTTCGCTTTTGCTGGCGAGCACTGTGTGCTATGCAGTCATACATCCTGGCAGGCTGTTCAGATACATTCGGAAGGTCGACGGCTCGGCTTTTGAGAATAGCGATGATGGACGTGTGCCGCTTAACAAGTACGCTGGGAAATGAGGGTGGCGGGCAAGCGGAGCTATCGGGGCTATCGGGCGCAGGCAAAGGACAAATGGGTGTCTGTGAGTTACCCCCTCGAATGGACTATGGTATTTCAAGAAGAAGATGAGCAAGCGAGCTAACCAGTAAGAGCGGTCTTGAAGATGTACTCTAACCGCTACAATAGAGTGTATCTTTTTATAGATGATCAAATTCGATCAATCACATGGAGATACTTCGACATTGGATGGAATTGTGAATCTAGGCTGGCTCTGATTGCAATTCGGATTGATTGTCGACAATTTACGCTAAAGCTATCAATGTTTGACTGATTGCTAGAGGTTTGGTCTTCTGCAGCCGAGGGCCTGGCATGTCTCCTCAATCGCCGTTACCAGAGAGATCACTTTTGCAAGTAGCCCCGAGACCGGGAATTCCCCGCCTATGGGGATTGGCTAGATTGGAATATAATGTAGCTCACGGTATTGTCCCATGTCGAATATCATTATGTTTCAGGAGTGTTATTTCAAAAACCTACATGTTTGCCATCTCAGGGTTTGACCCAACTTGTTCTCTTTATTGGCCACTCCAACCAAGCCCTATATTCCGTTGGCAGCAAATCCCAGATCCCGCTCATGATATGGTGTGTCCATCCTTGCATGTACCAAAACTGTTCTAAAGCACGAATAAGGACCAAAAAGTGCGCATAGATGATCATAGGGATGGGATCACGCTGCTGCATCCGCTCAAGAAAGTCGTCCGTCACACGGTAGAGCCACCCAAAAGTCACGTGGTACTCGTCCTCTCCACCTTGATACCGATTGTTGTACATCTCTTGGAGTATATTGACAGCCTCGACATCGTCCCTGTAACCAGGTGAATCCTTTGATACAGACTTCACAAGCTCCATCAGTCTGTCGAGCTGCTTCTCGTATTCTTCGGGTACTCCTAGGGCTGGCAACGGAGGTAATACTCCGTTTATTGAATATGGGCGGGTCTTGTGAGATGGCAGACGTTGAATGTTTGAGATGGTTGATCGAATGCCGCGGAACATGACCAACCAATCTGATTTCTTATCTCGTCCAAAGGCAAGATATTCCCCAGGTTGCGGGCCCCGACTCCAACCGATAAAACATATCAATTGTTCGGCAAGCAATACTGCATCAGAGTTGTCGGAATTTAGGGTTGCAATCTGTGGTGTAACCAGAACCAGAGCGCGCTCGTAGTGGTGGTCTGCCATCGCGAGGTATGCCTCTTTGCGGTGCGGACGGCAGTGTGCCAGATGCATTGCTGCGAATGCCAGCATCAAGTGCAGAACGTATGAGTTCTTGAATCCGATCTCAGCCATTTGGTTTTGCCGGGAGACACCTCCACTGGGCCATGCTGAAAGGGTGAAGCAGGTTGATGTTGCATAGTGATACGTGAGCTCGATCTCGGATACAGGCAGCTCTCCAGAGATAGAATTGAGGCTGTTTTCTCCGTGGTGCTTGGGTGAGGAGGTGGCTGGTTCAGTGAAGTCGCAACGTACTTTTCGATACTGACAGTTGCCACAACCTGGCTTCGCCTCGTCGCACTATAAACGTTAGTGTTAACCGCTTTTTATTGCGACAGCCAGTGCATTTAGGGCCGGGTCTCGGATGCTTCCTGCAGACCATCTATGGCTTCTCTAATTACTAAGCTCCAGCCCTGCAAAGTCTATTGCCTTGTTCAGGGTGTGCAAGACCTAACAATTGTCGTACCTTGATGCGACGCGACTTGCAATTCTTACAACCAGCACGCGATTTGCGGTGTGATCGTCTTGTTATCTTCCTGATGGTTTTGTCGCCTTCATTCGCAGAAGGCGATGCTGTGTTGGATTGCGTGGTGGACATCTGGCGGGTAACTAAGGGGAAAAGAATGTCTTTGGTGAGAGGTGCGCGTATTTGAATACGAGAAAAGAGCGTGCGCGTATCGGAATACGAGGAACGCGGGAGACTAACATGGGCCATGCATTCCCGCCCCACTCGCGACGTCGCCGCTTTAAACTCTCATGGATCACTAAGCATTCTCAAACGCTGCCTAGGCTACCTAGATTTCTCTACCATAGCAAGACCAGGCAAGGCAGACACACTCGTGCTGGTTTGAATTTTCACCTTGTCATTTGGATGCGATGTCTGTAGGCCACTATCTCCAGGGTACGACACCAGCAGGTCCTGACCGAGGCCTCTGCAATATCAACGAAATCCACAGTCTTGTGACTGTCGTAGTACAGACCTTTTGGTCAAAACTGCTACAATTCCATGGGCCTTTCCGGTCATCAAAAGGCTGAGGGGAAGGAATAAGAATCAACTTTAAGGCTTTGCTGGGACTCAGAAGAGTCAGCTCTGTTTCATGAGAGTAACCTCTGCCTTGCGATAACCTTTCAAAATACCAAAGCCATCAGGCACGACTAGATCCATAACAGTGTGATGGAAATGCCTAGAGAACCACACGAGCAAGACGTTTTACCAATTGGCATCAGGGTAACGGCTCCAAGCTCCGCGCAGTAAGATCTACTGTGAGAAATATGGGAGTCAAATTCTGGATACACCACCAGTTCCCAAACTCAGCAGCTAGACCGGTAACCCGGGAGAGCCTCCTAGTGTTTATTTTGTAACACCAACTATCACTTCTCACACCTGCCAGTAGAAATAAGCTCTCATGAGGATCGCACTTTGTTTTACTAGTCCAGTAGTAATGAAATCGACCGATGCATCTTCGGAGACAGGATGCAAGTACGCAGAGCGCCAGCGGGGATGTAAAGCACATATCGCTTTCCAGGCGCACTGCGTACATCAGGTCTACCTTGCAAACTAAATACGGTGAATGATGTCTGAATGGAGTGTTGGAACGAATTAATTGCGACCCAGGAGGCGGGAGAGTGATACCTTCGCTACCTGCAATGTTGTCTTTTTGGATACTTCAATAGAAAAAGCCGTAGTTGTCAAAGGTAGAAGTAGTGGAGTAGATAACGACGAAGCTACTGATGCTGTTTCCAGGGTTGAGCTCGACAATGACTTGCTGTACAAGAGTCTCGACTTCATCTGATGTTCCTTTGAATGCCCAAAACATGTGGTCGAATGCCATATCGTTAAAAGGCTGCTAAGATGCAGGATTTGGAAAGGAATTCAGCTGCAACTATTCCAGTGCTACATTTGCGGCACTCACGAGCTGCGCATCAATGAGATCCGAGAGATGACTCAGGTAAGTTGCAATAGTTCTCCAAGATGCTTCGTGGCTAGCGTCGATACCGATCCTGGGATTGAGTCAGTACCTACACGAGTATCGATCATGCTGTTATCTTGACATGTCACTCGATGGAGTTCCAATACTTCACTCGCATAGAGTTTGTCAGTCAGCGCAACTTCGTTCTAGTATGACATCATATTTTCAAATGTCACATCAGTCAGATCTGTACTATACCCATATAGTCGCTTTCAATATTAGACTACAGTGTGATCGGTATGTCTCGCACAGACTGGCGCGTATGGTTGGCTTGGCTACCGAGCAGTCGACGCCATGGTGTTTCGCTCACAAAATGCAACAAGCAAACATAATCCGTAGGCCTTGTCCGGAGATTGCAAAAAAGAACCAGAACTCCAAGCAGCTGTGCTTACTCCAAGCAACACAGCTGACATGTTAGTACTGGAAAAAGTACCAGATCCCAGACCTGTGGTTCGAACTAGCCACGACATGTGACACCTCCCAAAATAGGTTAGAGAATCTTCATATGCAAGACAGCACGCTTCGGGAACGGACTTCCTTGCCTTTGGTTGATGCCTCTGGGTGCATCTCCATGTGTATCGTCAACTCTGCGTCTACACATAGCTCTGCAGTGCTACGTCGGTAGTACTCTATGATTCACGTGCAATAAGGGTTGAAAGTTCAGCGGGGTCCCGTTGTTCCGTCGCCACAACCACCACCACCGCACTGCTTTAGGTAACAGTAGTGCGGGATATTACCAGAAGAAAAATCCGATTCGACGACAGAGCTTTGGCGCGTTCAGTTTCCGTCTTAGTTGTTCAGCCACCTGTGATTCGGGCCCCTCAGTAGGCTTCCAATTACTCATTTTCTTTTGTTTTCATAGCATGCGACTATGACTGGCTGTCGGCTTCTACTGCTGACTATTGTTAGTTCAAAGCCGAGTGGCTTTGGCATCATCCTATCAGGGCAGAGTTGCGTTAGTTTTTTTTGTCTCAGTTTCCTTTTGTGAGAACAAAGCATGCGGCACGTTTAATTGCCGTAGTGAGCGGGAGCCAGCCGCGAACTGACCCTGCCGAGAAGACTCTGGCGGACCAGTAGCTCACTCCGTGTGTACCAGTGGGCAGGCGTTCCTAAAAAGGTCTTGCTACTGTGCAAAAAGGGGGCCGTAGGTAGCTGTCTCGCGACCGGCGGCAAAGAAGAGATGCTGAGAGACGAATCTAAGGTTCGCGACGGACTGGACACCGTCTACATTCGAATCTGTACTATATTCTTCCGCTTGTACGTATTTGTTCAGCACATGTGAAGATGTGTCATGGTAAATGATGATCGTACAGGAAGTTGACTCGCTGCCACGATGACATATGCGTGCGATTTCGCCGCATCGGAAGATCTCGTCTGATTCGCCCGGCTGCATCGCCAAGCCGCGATCTTAGTGCATTTCGATCCACCTGGGCTTCTCCAAAAGCAATTGCTTAACTCCTGACCATTCATCTTGGCGTACCACATAGGACAATGACCCATCCACCTCACAAGGCACCCTGAATCATGTTTACATTGCGCCTCAGGACTCAGAATAATACTATAGTGTCTTCAGCATCGTAAGCTATTGATCAAAGGAGTATCTGCGTCTCTTTGCGATAGCAATACCTCATCTTAGAGCTTCCGCTACGGCGTTCGGCAGCAAAAGAATTAGGGGGGCTCGTCCCGTCCCGTACCCACAGCCACATACAAGCCCTGTGTCCCGGCACGTGCCTTGTGGCATTCCCAATTCTGTCCAGCCAAATAGAGGGGAGCACGCCGTCTACAGGCTACGATGCATACATGCACATGTGTGGTAGTGCTCGGTCCGAATTCAGTACTGTGTTAATTTGGCGTGACGGAAAACCGGCAAGATCTTCATGTTACATCGCTAATTCGGACGTTAATCGAGGAGGATATGCGCAGGGCTAGACAATGAGTGGTGCACGGTGTAATCGCGAGGGGCGGGAGAGCAAGGGTCCGGAGATCTTCATGTCAGTGCTCTAGTTTCTATCCACAATGAGTACTCGGCGATGAGTTGTGCAGCTGAGTTACCAAAGATTCTGCATACTAACATGTGTTAGTGCGAATGATTTCAGCCCCTGCGAAGATCACAATGTCTATGCAATATGTTTTCGCTGGGGAGGATACTCTCTAAAGAGCTCAAGGTCGGAATGATGAAAGTCAGTGTAAGCTCTGAGGGACTTCATGGTCACAAAACCACAAGTTCTAATGCAAATGCTTTGGCTGCTTCTACAAAAAGTAGAGCATAGAGATCTTCCTTCGGTCCAATCAAGCGTGACACACGTGGAGTAAGCTACAAAGAACAAACGTTAATATCAACCAGCCACGGGACTGACGGCGCTACACACATGGTGATTTGGCACCTATCACCAGTAACACCGCCTCGCCGACTACCGATGAGTTGCAAAGATCGACATCTCAACAGATGCATGTGGGAGATCGACATGCCTAGTGGCATTTGTCCTTGAACATCGTGGTAAGCTACAGCGAGTGTTTACACTGACACTTGGACAACATCAGATGTATATAACCCCTCCAGTCCTCGACAGAATCAACTCATCATCCAGCTCCATCTACAATCCTCACTACTACCTTCTCAACACTCAACCCAAGCTCAACAACAAAAGCTTCTTTTACAACCGCAAAAATGGTCTCCATCCGCAACATCTTCACTGCCGCTTTGGCTCTCGCTGCTCCCATCTCTGCGGCTATCACTCCCGCCCAGACCGTCAGCAACATCAAGATGCTCACCTCCAAGAGCCAGGCTCTCCAGGCCCCTGCTCAGTCCATCACCATCATCAACGGACCTCTCATCGTTATCGGCCAGGGACCATTCCCCCAGATCATTGCTGGTTTTACCGACATCATCAGCACTGTCACTACTTCTATCGCTCAGATGCAGGGCTCTGAGCCTGTCAAGGCTGGCCCTGATTCCGACGCCATCTTCGACGCATTCCGTGAGGTGAGTACAATCTCCCCTCGTAATGAACAAAACTAACAAGAAAATCTAGTTTGTCCGCGTCCACCAAGTTCTCCTGAACATCCTCATTGGCAAGGCTGGCCTCTTCACCACTGTCCCCTTCATTGGCCAACCTGTCGCCGCTGTCCTCAGACAGCTTGAGAGTGTTGTCGACGTAAGTGAATCCGCCACCTCCGTCTTCGCTTGGAAACTCACAAGCACTGTACTAACTCTACCCTTCAGACCATCGCTTTCATGCTCATCGACACCGTCCAGTCTCGTTCTGCTGACCTCATCAAGGAGGCCAACAACCTCGGCGCCACCCTCGACGTCTGCATCAACTCTTACCAGGGTCTTGCCTAAATACCTTCCAACTGAGTAGCCTGGCCCCTCAACCAAAAAGACCGTTCCATGGGGATATTGCCTGGCGACTCCTAGTGAAGATACCGGTTCTGGAAGATACACGAATAATGGACAGTGGTCATCAAGCCACTATGTTGTGATGGGAAAAAAAGGAGTAGTTTTCTTCAGCAGAAACTACCTCTAGTGCGATTCTTTTCTTCTGCTGTATTCGATTGTTTATACATGGTCGCCCTTTCTGTTAATAACTTTTTTTGGGAATATACATATATTTGGTTACGGGAATTGCCTGTTTTTTTGTGCATTGCTCCAGGCGGTGAAGTGAAACTAATGACAGCTTATGCTCATCGCTTCTGATAATGGTCCCATAAAGAATCGAATAAAGGTTAAGGATCTCCTCCACTCTAGTAGACTTTTTCTTCTTTTTCTTCTTCTAATCAACTCAGATGCAGTCACTGATTGCGAACACTGTTCTCTCATTTCTATACCCCCCAATCTCTATCTAAACCACCAACTGCGCATACTCATCACAAACCTCCGTCAACTTCGTCCTTGTCCCCGGCTCCATAACACTATGCCCCGCATCATCAATAAAAAACAGCCTACTCTCCAGCCACTCCTTGTGCAACTCCCACGCCGTAATCGGGGGACAAACAACATCATACCTCCCCTGCACGATCGTCGTCGGAATACCCCTAATGCGATCCACATTCTCCTTCCTCAACAACTGCCCATCCTCCAACCACGCCTTGTTCGTGAAATAATGAATCTCAATCCTCGCATGCGCAAGCAGATATTCAGGTTCCTCTAGCTTCTTCATCGCATTGGGGTCCGGATACAGGGTACTTATAGATATCTCCCAGGTATTCCAGGCCGCGGCTGCGGGGTGCGAGATAGCGGGGTCAGAAGACATGAGGCGCTTGTGGTAATTAGCGATATGGTCTGCGCGTTCTTCCTTAGGGAGAAAGTTGATAAAGTCGTCCCAGCGGTCCGGGAAAAGCATGCTGGCGCCGCCCGGGTGGTTCGTCCATCTAAGCTCGAGATCACGGACTGTGAAGATGCCACGCAGGACGAGGCTGCCGACGCTGGTAGGATGGGTTTGGGCGTAGGCGAGGGCGAGGGTGGAGCCCCAGGAGCCGCCAAAGACCATGTGCCATTTGGTGATAAAGAGGTGCTTGCGGAGGGCCTCTATGTCGGAAACCAAGTCCCAAGTTGTGTTGGCAGTTGCGTTGGCGTTGGGGCGGGATTGCCCGCAGCCGCGTTGGTCGAGGAGGATCACGTGGTATTCTGATGGGTTGAAGAAGACTGTGTTGCTTTTGGAGCAGTTTCCGCCGGGGCCGCCGTGGAGGTAGATTACTTCATGTGGTTAGAATGCGAATATTTTGTAGAGATTCATTTCAACACATACCAGGTTTTCCACCCTTTTTGCCGTACTGTTGATAGTACAGCTCGTGGATGTCGTCGACACGAAGCCAGTCAACGTTCCAAGCATCTTCATGCTGGTAGCTGTGTATCTCAGGAGCCTGAGCCATTGTGATTGATGTTTTGCTTTGAAAATTGGGGGCAGAGGTTTTTGTTCTCTGGTTACTGTCGCTGTGGAATAAGCAGGCAGTCGCGATGAGGAGTCAGAAAAGACACTACCCCGCTTACAGCATAGCGACCCCCACTATGTCAAGAGCACCTTCCTAGACAGGTCGAGGCACATTACAAAAAGAGAACACATGGAGGAAGTGAAGTCATTACATTCATTATCTTATACAACAAGAGTATTCTGAGTAAATATCAACTCAGAACTTGAATCCACCAGTCCTCGTACTGAACAAGCCATCAGGGTCGACGCTCCTCTGCAATGCCTTGAACTTCTCATAGTCCCGATAGCTTTGTAGAACAGGCTGATCAAACATAGCATCATTCAAGAAGAGTGGCAGGTAAGTATCCAGGGGCATCCCTGCTTCTGCCATCCACTGCGGCACAACCTCGTCTAGCCAACTCGTAACCTCTCTGGCAATCTTGAACGCAGCTTCATCATCTGATGGCAAGTTCCAGGCTCCTTGGTAGATAAGTACTATGCGGTCGGGATCAGAAGCACCGAGACCCATGGCGTTGCCGCCTTTAGCCGCCGATTTCTTGCCAATTACAGATGGAAGAGGCTGGAAGTCAACGCTGAACTGAACACCGCGGACCACAGGGGGCGTATTCAGAAAGAGGGCGGTGGTGTTGGCGAGCTTCTCGCTGATCTCCTTGTACATTTGTGGACGAGAAGCAATGTATGGGATTGTTTTAGTCTTTTGTACGATTAGATTCTTGCTGAAGAGGATAAAGAATAAATACTCACGCGGAAGAAGGAACGAGCATTCAAGAGGCGAACTGGTTCACCATTGGCCCTTAACTACACGTAGTTAGCATGTTATCGTAACAGTGACACAGATATTTGAAATTACCAGCTGAGAGTACTTCTGCCTCTTCGGTAGACAAGCCAGGTTGAGGATGTTGAAGAACTGGGCAAAAGGACCGGACGTAGGCGGCGTAGGGCCGTCATAAAAGTAGTATATGAGTTTGGACCTCGTGCCAACACCCAGTACCAGGTCAGTGAAGATGATGGCCGCCTTGGGATCTTCGGCACCATGACCAACGAATTCATGTAGTGCAGCATAGAGCTCGTCTGCCTTGGTCTCATCGTATGCGCAGGATCCGCCCCATACGTCGTCCATGTGGTGAACCTTGGCTTTAAATTGTGTGACAATGCCAAATTGGTTGCTGCTACCACGCATCGCCTGCGCGAGGTCTGGATGTCTTACGGCATTTACGTTTACAATGGAGCCATTAGCCATGATTGTCTCCCATTCAACAATGTTCTAGCACTTGTCAGCATGGTGTCTAACTAGCATCGGTCGGCGACTGACATCGGCAGCAAGGCCTTCTTGAGCACTGAGAAAGGAGAGACCTCCCCCTAACAGTAGCCCACCAACACCAACAAGACCTGGATTGAGTAAGCGAATATCCTGCCAAGGCGCGTATATGACTATACCAAGTCTTCCACCAGCAATGGCTACCCCGCTTTGTTCGAGATCACCTATCACGTCATTCCACTCTCCTCCAGGGCGGACGTAGGCTACATCCTCCTGTGCGTCATAGCTTGCTCCAGCCAGGTCGGTCATGGTGATGAGGACACCATCTTGGACAGTGGAATGGTCTTTGTTAGGGTCATGACCACCACTGCGAGTAGCAAAGCGGACTGTCGGGTACTTGTTCAAGATCTTGATGACAATGGAAACATCCTGAGCAGAGTTGGGCTGTACAACACATGCTGGTTTGATTTCTCGAAGATTAGTAGCCCAGTACTGTTGTGTCTCATACTGGTATTCCACTGAGAGAAGTCCTGGACTTAGGGTTTTGCCGGGCAGAGAGTTGGCTATCTCATTGCAGGCTTGAGTAGTTGCGTCTGAGGGGAGACCATAAGCGGTCTGGGCACCCAGTAGCAACGCACTGACTAGGAATGCGAGGCCGGCCATGGTGGACAAATGTGGAAGGATTAAAATGGAGGAGTGCCAAAATGAGAAACAAGCCTTGCTGTCTCTGTGCAATGCCTGAGGAAACTGTCAAATATATACAGGGACATTATATAACGTCGATTCCAAGTCTCGACATTGGGCCGAGATGCGGCTGTCAAAATCGGTCTCAATCTAGAAAAATAACATGGTCTCAAGAGAAGTGGAAATACTGTGGCTTGGATACGGCACACGTGTGTATGCTGGAAAGTGGAAACCTCCATACCAAACACAGGACGACAGGACAGCTTTGAGGAAAGATCAGCAACAAAGTCCGAGAGAGTTGCCGGAAGCGAATTTAAAAGTGGATTAGACTGGATGCAAGTTGTCTCAATGTCTCTATCGCGAGCTGAAACTGGAATTTAGCCTAGCTGTTGCAGTCTAAAATGCCAATAGAGATGACGCGGGGGCTGAATTGAGGCGTGCGTGGCAATCTAGACAGGAATCGAAAAGTCTGGGTCAACGGGCAAAAGCGACCGAAGGCCCCACAATGACTGCGATCTGGCGGTCGATTCGAATTTTATGGCCGAGCCGGAGTCTATCGTACATCGTGGAAGACATGACTTGACATGACTAGAGTAGACAAAACGGGCACACCGGTGACTAGAGGTGATTAGTGACGTGACCTGTGTGACACAAGCGTGTTCGGGAGTGGCTGAAGATGAAAGTCGGAAGACAATGGCATGGTTGTGGAGAACTGGCTGCCGAGCACTATATACGGACACGGAATACGAGTGGCATTTAGGTCGTTTACAAGCGGGTGCAGCAGGACGGGAACCAGGGTCTCGGGTGAAGCACGGCCCGAGCGCGGTAGCTGGGTTGCTCCTTCTAGAACCCAGCACTCAGGGTAAACAAACATTGGACGAGAGCAAGCCGCCACAACGTCGCGTCTACGCCCACGTCCGCGTCTGACGTCGACAACGGAACACCACCATGGAGTCATACAACCTCAAAACTGCATCGACATACATCAACAACCTGCTGCTGTCGCGGGGGTTGTTGCGCAATGGCAAGCCCATTGAGTTTGCCCACCCGTCCAGGGGAGAGGGCGGGAAGGAAGCCACCATGGCCCAGATTATCAATTTGATCCACGATCTAATACTAAAGCGCGATGTATGTTGGCCTCAAGCTCTTCTGAGCTGTATTTTCCTAACGAATGTATAGCGCGACCAAGAATATCGTGAGTCCGTCGCTGAGACGCTGCGAAATCTGCGCGCGGATGCGACGCGCCAGACGGCCGCCCTTGAGAAGCAATATGCACGCAATGACGACCTGTCGCGGCAACTCTCCCTCGCCCAGGCCCAGGAACAGTCGGCACGCAAGGCTCTACACACAGCTGAATCATCTGCACGAAAGTTGCGTGCAGAAATGCAGCGACTCAAAACGACCGTGGATCAAGTACGCACAACTTGCACAAACGACGTTCGGAAGCGCGACAGGGAGATTGTGAGGCTAAAGAGCCATTTGACAAGTCAACAGAGGGGCAACAAGACTGGTCTTGTCGGTGCGAGCATCACAATCAACCCAGGCACCATGGGCTTGGGTGGGGCTACAAGCAGCGTGCGTGAGGATGTGCCCAATGTCGACGACCCCGAATATAGCCTGAAGCAGGAGACAACTGAATTTTTGACACACCTCAGTCAAAGCTTAAGCGACGAGAACGATAGTCTTATTGGGCTTGTACGAAGCACACTTTTGACGCTGAAGGAGCTGCAAGGCATGTCGGAACAAAACGCAAGAGCCGACTCGGAAGAGGGATCTGACTTTGGCGAAAACGATGACAACGATGAGGGCACAGGACAAGGCATGTTGCACACGCTACCTACCAACTATGAGGCCTTGGCAGATGACATGGACACGGTGCTGGACAACTTGAAGAACCTACTCACAAATCCAAACTTTGTGTCAGTGGAAGAGGTGGAGCTGCGCGAAGAGGAGATTCACAGGCTACGCGCAGGGTGGGAAAAAATGGAGGCCCGATTGCGCGAGTCCTTTATGCTCATGGACTCTTGGAGGAAGCGCATGACCAATGGCGACACCATCGATCTTGAGGAGCTTAGGATGGGCCTAGGATTTGGACAAGGGCTAGACACATCTGACAGGCAAGGCATCTCCATCATTGAGGAAGAAGAAGAGGACGAGGATGAGGATGAAGCCGCCAGTTCAGTCTTCGACGAGGAAGTAGATGATACAGATGTCCCACAAGAAGACGAGGACGAGCAAAGCGAAGTCGAGCATGAGCCTTCACCGGAGGTAGAGGACATGGCGCCAAAGAAGAATAGCGCCGACATGTTCAAGATCAAGCTGCAACCCACTCCAGCAGCGCTACGAGAGTCCAATGGTAACAAGTCGCTAAGCCGATCGCCGCGAAAAGTTGCCTTCTCACCATCTATTCCCAACACGCCATGTCAGGTGGAAGATGAGAATGCAGAGGAGTCTGGGATTGACCTGGTAGGTGCGGAGAAGTCGAGTCGCTCCAGCTCGGCAGTCAAGCCACCTACTTCTGAAGAACGGGCACCAAGGCGGAAAAGTCGAGATGATCGCACACCCCGAAGCGTACGTAATGACAGGCTGACGAAGCATATGGTGAATATGGGCAGCATAGTCTTCTTTCCTTGTCGTCTTGTCTTTGTCATGCGGCCGATGAGCAGCGCTTGTTTAATCAGACCATGCATCTAACAGTTTTTAGCAGACTAGAAAACGCCTATCGAGTCCACGGGCACACCCTGAGGAGCCGTCGCCGAAGCTAACTGTGCAAGACAAACTGCGAGACGCCTCGGAAGCGGCCGCTGCAGCCGAAGTCGAGAAGGCTGCCAGCCCCACCAAGAAAACCGACAACAGGGGCGAAATGATCAATGAGGATACGGGCAAGCGCGCACCTCGGTCTGCAACCAAGTCCAGGGTTGGTGGTCGACCGCGAAGAAGAAAGAGCACCCTTACGGCGGACGAGCTAGCGAATCTTTTGGGTTGCTGAGTGAGTTGAA